GGCCCGCTGGGACCCCTGCGCGAAGCCTCCAGGGATTCCCGCCTCCCGGCGGGGGGTGCTTTCTGGAAAGTGCACGGAGCCCCCGACACCTCGGGTGCATCTGGCTTGTCTCCACAGGTTAAAACTTTTCCAGGAACAGGGCGCAGCTGTGGGGCCACAGAGGGAGTTTCCACAGCCTCTCTGACAATGGCGATAAGCCCGGGAGATAAGGATGCTGATCTCTGATTTAAATGAAAAAACAAAACAAAACCAAACAAAAACTGTTACCGAGCGGGTTCTGTAACCGCCAGGAAAAAGAAAAAAGTCTGTATGTATTCCTGCCATTGCCTCAGACAAACTCTGGTGTGGCCGGCGTGGATGGTGTGGATGGCGTGGACCGTGTGGATGGCGTGGACCGTGGGGATGGTGGCAGCAAGTGCCCGGTGTGGAAGGAAATGCAAAGGCCGAAGGAGGCCTGCTTGGTGGGGCCAAGTGGCCTCTCCTGGGCTCCAAGTTTAACCTGAGCTTCCCTCTGTACAGCCAGGTTGTCACACATGCCGGCCTCTTCCCGGGCAGGAAGTAGGGGTCTGGCTGAGGTTGGAAACCCGAGGACAGAACAGTTGACAGTTTCTCTCCTGTGTGTGCCTCACACGGCATCCCCAGGAAGAATTTGTGCAAGATCCCCGTGGGCAGCGTAGCTCTCGCCTGACGAGGGGGAGGCACCCGAGATATCCAGGTCCCAAACTGCTTGGTGCCGTGGCACCCACGCTGGGGCACAACCCCTGCTTTGCCAAGGCTGTGTTTCCCAGTCCTGTGATGCTGCCGCTGGGCCCTGGTCGGAGGCCCCTTTCACTGCCAGCAGCTCCTCCGAGCCCAGCGCTCCTGGACCAGATTTGCAGAGGGAGCTACTGACCCCTAGTGACCGAAACTTCCAAATCAAGGCAAGACCCCAAGGCAGGATGCCGGCCCCACTTTCCTGCCTGCAGCTTAAAGAAGTTCTGGCACAGATGGACGCTCCCAAGTTCCGTCCAGCGGGACCTGCCGGCCAGGGGCTTTTCTGCAGCTCAGGACTTGCTGAGTCAGAGGGTGGAGCGAGCACCAGGATGTCCCCTCTGGCCAAGGTCCCCTGCTGTGTGTAGAATCGTGTCCCCCAAATGATAGGTCCCAGTCCTAACCTTGGCACCTGGGAACGGGACCTTATTTGGAAATGGGGACTTTGCAGGTGGGATGACATGAAGGACCTGAGAGGAAGTCCTCCTGGAGGAGGTGGCCCTGCATCCAAGGACACAGACACAGAGGAAAAGCCACGTGGAGACGGAGGCAGAGACGGGAGGGAGGCGGCCACCAGCCCAGGGATGGACACCTGGAGCCCCCAGAAGCTGGAAGAGGCAGGAGGGACCCTCCCCTGGGGCCTCAGGAGGGAGCACAGCCCTGGGACACCTTGACCTCAGACGTCTGGTCTCCAGGACGGGGGAGGGTGGATGCCTGTGGTTTTAAGTCCGTGGTTTGTGGTCATTTGTTACGGCCGCCCCAGGGCTCACCTACAATCATGCCACAACGTGGCAGAGAAAGAAATGATCAGGAATCCCCCGGCAAACAGCTAAAATCCCCAAACTGAGTCAGGGACTTTGCTTTCCAGGGCCTCTCGCCCGCAAGCACAAGGCATGGCCAGGAGGGGGCAGCGGAGTCCCTGGGAGGAGAACGCTTGGGCTGCTGGAGTTTTGCCTTGAGACAGAGCTATTTGGGTAAATAAGAAAATGCGCCAAAGACCAGTGTATCTGGACGCCCCCGTGACCCACAGGCACTTCAAACAAAGACACAAAAATCCTGTAAAGAGAAAGGCCCCAGAGAAGCATGTGTTCCCCCCTCAACCTGAACCCCCAAAGCATTTGGAGAGAACTGGGGTGGGGTCAGCAATTTCTCCCTACCAACTTGGAGGGATCCGGCACTCATCTGGCCAGACCTCCAACATCTACTGTTTCTCGGGGCCAAGAGCACCCTAAGTATGAACAGTGCAAGTCGGGGGGGCTTTGTTGAGAGGCTCTGGGATCAGGTGGGCAGAGCCCCCTCCAGGAGGGGCCCACGGTGTCCGGCGGTGCTGCCCGGAGGGTCTGCCCCCAAGGTCATCCTTAAGCCCTGATCGCTCACTCCAAGGAGACCACCGTCGGTCCCCGGTGGGAGGGTATGGTTGGAAATTAATTCCCAGTAAGAGTCCAGTGCTGAGTGTCCCCTTGAGGACGTGCGGGCTGAACAACTCAGGGGTGAGATACAAGCATTTCAAAAGATGCAAACAAAAAACTCTATTTTCATTGCCCCCCAAGTTAGAGAAACCTCTAGCAGCAAAGACAAAGTTGGGCAAGAAAGACCGGGGTGGAGGGGCCGCCTGGGGGCTGAGCCGTGCAGCCTCAAAGGGAGGGGTGCAGAGGGGACCCCGGGCTTTGCTGTGGGTCTGAGACGCCAGGGAGAGCATTGTCTCCCAGGGACTCTGAAGACGCGTCACTGCCTGAATTTCTCTCTTCTGATAAGGATGTTGGACAGATCGGGCGAAGGACCCACCCCCCTAACGTCTTCATCAGAATAGGTCACACCGGCAAAATCTCCGTTTCCAAATGTGTTCGTAGTCACGGGTACTAAGGGGGTAGATTTCAGTGCATCTTTGTCATGGGGGGGACAGTTAAACCCACAACAGGGGACCCTGGCCAGAGCACCTCTGACACCATCCGGCCACCAAAGCGTCCTCGGTCCCTCCTTCACCCTCTGCCTCAGCAAGTCCTGAGCCGCTGCAAAGCCCTGGCCCGAAGGTCCTGCGGGAGGAGCTCTTCCAGCTGCAGGCGGGAGAGGGGGGCCGGCCTCCCGTCTCGGGGGCCTGCCTCGATCTGGAAGTTTCGGTCACTAGGGGTCAGTAGCTCCCTCTGCAAACGCGGCCGCGGGGCGCTGGGCGGCAAAGAGAAACTGAAACTCGAAGCGGGCGGCTTGGCGGGAAGACGGGAGGCCCCGGGGCGCGGGGGGGCCGGCTGAGCACTCCCCAACCCCGCCCCGAGGGTCCCCAGGCGCAGGAGGGCATTCAGCAGAGGGGCGCCCGGAGGCCCGGAGGCCCGGAGGCCCGGAGGAGTCAGCGCAGGGGCTGCAGGAAAGCACACTGACAGCTCGGCGTGCACCCGGAGCACCTGTCCTCTGTCCCAGCCGCCCCCCAGGACGGTCTCCTGGACCCAGGTGACAGTCAGCCCAAAGCTGCCATGTGCTTCTCTGTCTCCCAGGACACGGGAAGTTGGAGACGCACGTAGCGGACAGTCCCGCACAGAACGCAAGGAGATCACATTGTCCACTCGGTGTCTCGGACGCGGTGAGTCCCCACGGGTTCTGTTTCAGGATTTCTCACCGTGTTTCCCCAACGTTCCTCATCTTGGGCTGGGCCGGGGAGGCTGTCCTCTGCAACCCACCTTTCTTCTCCCCAAACGATGCTCTGTGTTCGTCTGACTATCTTCCCACAGTTGGGTTTTCTCTGAAATAGGGCAGAATGGAGGGGAAGAGCCTCTTCCTTTAGCAGAATGGGTCTTACTTATGTCTCCTGACCTTAAACTTTATGCATTTATATTTTTTCAGATTATTTTCCATTGTAGGTTATTACAAGACATTGAATAGAGTTCCCTGTGCTTGTAGTTACTTGTGTCCTTGTGGTTTATTTATTTTATATATAGTCGTGTGTATCTGCTCATCCCAAATTCGAATTTGTCCCTCCCCCCACCTCTCCCCTCTGGTAACCATCAGTTTTTTGTCTATGTCTGTGAATATATTTCTGTTTTGTAAATAAGGTCGTTTGTACCATTTTTTTTTAGATTCCACATATAAGTGACATCATATAGCGTTTGTCTTTTTCTGTCTGACTTACTTCACTTAGAATGATGATCTCCAGGTCCATCCATGTTGCTGCCAATGGCATTATTTCATCCTTTTTAATGGCTGAGTAGTATTCCATTCTGTAAATACACCACATCTTCTTTATCCAGTCATCTGTCAATGGACAGACTTAGGCTGCTTCTATGTCTTGGCTACTGTAAATAGTGCTGCTGTGAACACTGAGTACATCTTGACCTTAAACGTTTGCAATTCTTTTCATTAGGAAGTAAATCGAAACATCCCAAAAGCAGAGACAGTCTACCTGCTCATCACTAACCCGGCTTCAGGAACGTGCCGACTTTACCTGTCTCCCCACTGAACCTTGGCTCTACCTGGAAGAAATAAAATGGTAGGGTAAGTCCCAAGGAGAGGTCTTTGCTGAAGGAACAGGCATGGCGCCCACAATCTATTTGGCTTCCTAAATAATGGACACAAAAGTGACACTGATGAGGATGTTCTGGACACTTCCACCCCACTGTGACCCGCCAGGACTGAGGAGGGCTATGCCAGAGGCAGGTGCCCTCAGGAACCCTGGTGTCTCGGATCCCTGGGGCCTCACCTGTGTCTCCTGCACCTATGTCCCTGTCACCCAGGACTCTTCTGTGCCCTTGTGGGCTGACAGCCCAGAGACGCCTCCTCCTCTGCCTGGAAAATGCACCCAAGACGGACAACACATCAGGTTCCACGGAGCAGACAGACTCCTCTCCTTCTGCCCTCAGTCCGTGGAGCCCAGGTGACTTTGCTGTTACACCTGCTTCCAAGCCCAGCAGCCAACAAGTCCCAAGTCATCTCCAGCACCTTGAAGATCTGCCTTGGAGTGTCCTGGGGCGGCTGTGACAAAGCACCCCAAACTGGGGGCTTAGAACCGCAGGCATCCATCCTTCCCCGTCCTGGAGACCAGATGTCTGAGATGAGGTGTCCCAGGGCCGCGCTCCCTCCCGAGGCTCCAGGAGAGGGTCCCTCCTTCCTCTTCCAGCTTCTGGGGGCTCCAGGCGTCCATCCCTGGGCTGGTGGCTGCCTCCTTCCCGTCTCTGGCTCTGTCTCCTCTATGTCTGTCTCTCCTCTTCTGTCTCTTCTGAGGATACTGTCCTTGGATGTAGGGCCACCTCCTCCAGGAGGACCTCCTCTCAGACCCTTCACTCCATCCCATCTGCAGAGACCCTTTTTCCATATAGGGTCCCATTCTGAGGTTCCAGTGGACATAAATTGGAGGACACTTGTCAGCCTCCTCCAAGGAACCCCTGTGCCTTTTTTTTTTCATTTATATTCCTTTCTGTTTTGCAGAAGTTTAGTGAATTCCAATGTGTCCTGTGTCTTTAACCAGGACACCCCAGGGACCTCCTTGGGCTGGCTCACTGAGTGATCCCAAACCAGCCCAGAAGCCGGGTCACTGCATCCACGAAGAAAGAGTGCCTGTTAGCACCATGTAGGCAGGTCCTGTTTCAGTCTGGCGGCCACATTCTCCAAATTCGTTGTCAGCAGACAGACCGCGGAAAAGCGTCTTCCTAGAATTTCTGCTTCAGGATGGTCCACAGCTGAGTGAAGTAAGTCAGACAGAGACACATATAGGGTATCACTTGTACGTGGGATCTGAAAGAAATTTTTTTTCAAATGCTGTAAGTTCTATTTACAAACCAAAAATGGACTCAGGGACATAGCAAACAAACTATGGTTATTAAAGGGGAAAGGAGGCAGGACGGATAAGTCAGGAGTCTGGGATGGGCAGATACACATGACTGTATGTAAAATAGATAAACAGGAAGGTCCTACTGTACGGCACAGGGAACTATATCTTGTAACAGCCTAAATGGAAAAAATATGAAAAGACAATATATATGTCTATGCGGAAAAAAAAATATGTTCCTTCTTCTGCCTGAGGCTCCAGGTATGTCAAATTCCAGAGACGTTCCGCACCCATGGGACCACACGGGTGTGGCCTCACCTGTGCGTCAGACAGTCAGGCGTTTTGCTAGTAAAGACTCCCTCCCTCGGGCTGCAGCCTGGAAGTGGAGGTCACGGACTCCGTCTGCCCCCCTTGTGGTTTCAGTCTGCCCACCCACCTCATTCCAAGATCGCACCTTGACAGCGATGCTGGGCTCGGCAGAGCCGGACACAGGCTTGTGGTCGAAGCCGCGCTCATGTCCCCCACGCACAGTGACGCCGGACAAACGGAAACGTCGGAGTTTGCAGCCAAGAAAGGTTTATGGCAGGACCCCGCCAGGGGAAGGGGTGGCTCTTGCTTAAAGGCCCCAAACTCCCCATGGTTTGGGGGGAGACATTTCTAATAGGCAAAATGTGGGGTGGGGGCTGCAGGGGTGTGACTTGTCTTCTGATGGGCCGGTGGGGAGGCACCAGGACGGGGCTCCAGGAATCCTGGGCTCAGCCTGGAGGCGCCGTCCTCCACCCCGGTGGGGGCCTAGTTCCTGCAGGAGAACTCGGCCGCATTGCTCTGGATGTGCCTTGAGGGGGAAGCAGGACCCTCCCCAAGGCTGCACTCTTGTTTCTTGAAGGTTGTTCCCTTGTTGTCTGCATCCCCTCCCTTCCCTGATTAGCTACTGTTTTGACTCTGTCCTTTGGAACTCAGGGAAGGCCCAGGACGCTGAAGGAAGTCTATGTCCCGCTAACAAGAAACGGGAAGTGTGGGGAAGGGAGAGTCCTGCTTGGTTTTACCCTGAAGGGCAGAGTCAGGGCAGTTGACTCAGGTGACAGGTCTGAACGCCTGGGAGGAGGTGGGGTGGAGGGACGGGCCAGGACCCAGGGCAGCCTGAGAGCATGGGGTCCCCAGGGAGGAAGAGGGTCTTGCAGACACCCACACACACCGGCTTCTTCAAGAACCACAGGGGAGCTGAGACAGGAGGGAAGGGGGCAGGGCACAGCCTTGAAAGGAGTGACACAGGAATTAGCACCAAGCTGGCACAGAAGTCAACTCCCACTGGACCTGGAGGCGCAGGATGGCGGGCGCTTTGCCCTCCTGCAGGCCTTGAGCGAGGCTACACTCCTTGTAACGCATCAGCAGGGCCAGTGGCGCCCCCACAGGCGCCGTGCCTGTCCCAGGCTGACCCTCAGAGGTCAGAGAGTGGGCGGTGGTCCAGTCCCTGGGAATGCCCGCCCCTTCCGCAAAGCAGTTGGAAGAATCCGCCCGCTTGTCAGCATGTGAGATAACCAGGCCCATAAAAGCGAAGAAGCCCACAGCTCGTGGCCTTTCTCTTGCCTTGTGAGATGGCCGCACTCTGTCTGCGGAGCGTGTGTCTGCTTTTACTTTAAAGGGAGCGCCCAGCCCGGCACCTCGCGGCCTCTCCGGCCACCTGGGGCGGCCGCACTCAGTCTAGGGCGCGTGCATCTCTCTGAATAAATCCACTTTTACTCAAGTGTGGCTCGCTCTTGAAGTCTTTCCTGCACAGAGTGAAGGACCCACACGTGGCAGGGCGCATCCCAGGGACCTACCTGGCACCTGGGACACGGCCATCCTCTCCTGCCCCAGATGTTTCCTGCATCAGTGAGGCCTTCAACTAGGAGTCTCGCTCTGCTGTGTAAATTTTCTGAGGACGAAATGCTGTCCCACCTCTGACTTCCAAGAAAGCCAGCTCCTGGAGACGGTGCAGGGGGAAGGGAACCTCCTACACTGTGCGCGCAAAGGCAGACTGCTGCAGCCGCTACGGAGAACAGCCTGGTGATTCCTCAAAAAACTAAAAATAGGACCAGGAGGAGACGGCGTGGAGTCCCGGCGGGTCAGGCGAAAAAGCTAAAAAGAACCGAAAAAGTTCCCAAGCCGCCTGCCAAGCCGAGCAAAGTAGCAGAGGACACGGAGGAGGAAGAGAGAGAGACCGCGTCCCAGGCCCGGTCTGCAAGGGCCAGTGGGAAAATAAGGAACAAATTCTCATCTTCATAGAAGTGAATTTCAGAACAAGACATTTAATGCAAGACTTGAGAATGTTGATACCTCCTTTTTTTTCCCTTTTTCAGTTTTATTGGGTAGAATTGTTACAGTTCGACTGCACACACACATTACACTGCATGTAAATACATGTGCACGGTGTACTGCACATATTTTTTTACTTTACATATGTGTGCTGTGCATTGTCTCTAAGAACAATTTAGAGCTTCAGCTTTTTAAACTCACATAGTTGTCAAAGAATCAAGCCAGCCCCAAAATAAGAATCAAAAGAATGCGGTCATCCAGTCATAAATCGGCTGACACATATTCAACAAATCAGTCATCTGAGTTATAAATAATGACTAATTCAGTTGTGTCCTTATTTATTTTATTTATTTATTTATTTTAGATTCCACACATAAGAGATCTCATATGGTCTTTCTCTTTCTCTTTCTGACTTATTTCACTTGGAATGATCATCTCCAGGTCCACCCATGTTGCCGCAAATGGCATTATTTTATTCTTTTTTATGGCTGAGTAGTATTCCATTGTATAAATATACCACCTCTTCTTTATCCAGTCAACTTTTGATGGATGTTTGGGATGTTTCCATGTCTTGGCTATTGTAAACAGTGCTTCTGTGAACCCTGGGGTGCAGGTGTCTTTTTTAATTTTCTTTTTTTCCAGGTATATGCCGAGGAGTGGGGCTGCGGATCCCATGGTAAGTCTATGTTTAGTTTTTTTAAGGAACCTCCATACTGTCCTCCATAATGGCTTGTTGAGGCCTTCTCCCAAAGCAGACACTAAAATGGATTGGAAAGATAAGTTATTTGTTGATTAACGAGGTTTGTGAAATGAAAAAACTGCAATAAATGTATCTATGTTGAAGCTAAGAAAAAACAAGGTCTCTGTATGTGGCTTTCAAATTCACCTCATGGACCAGCTGCTAAACTACTTGTTCAAAATATTCACACCCTAGAGGAGCTGGTGATGACTGGAAACTGAAAAAAAAAGGTTTTCAGTCCTACTGTACAGCACAGGGAACTATATTTCAATGTCTTGTAATAACCTCTGAAGGAAAAGAATCTGAAATAAAATAAATATATATATAGCTGAACCACTGTTCTGTACACCTGAAACTAGCACAATGTTGTTAATCCACTCTACTGCCATTTAAAATGATAAAAGAAATAAAAATAGAAGAAAAGTTTAAAAAACAAAATGCTAGGAAAGAAAGAAGGAAGGAAGAAAGACAGAAGAGAAAGAAAAGAAAGAAAGAAAGAAAGAAAGAAAGAAAGAAAGAAAGAAAGAAAGAAAGAAAGAAAGAAAGAAAGAAAGGAAGGAAGGAAGGAAGGAAGGAAGGAAGGAAGGAAGGAAGGAAGGAAGGAAGGAAGGAAGGAAGGAAGGAAGAAACCAAACCCAACCCAGCCCAGGCTTCGCGTTGCCTGAAGGTGCCCCCTCCAGACGCTGAGCTGAGACAGGATGGGGCCCCAACCGTCCCCCCGGGAAGTGCAGAGGCTGGCTTAGTCAGGAAGTTGAGAAATTCCGGCTGAGGCCATTTGGAAATATGTCTCAAAGCATCTGCTTCCATTTCTGGGGAAAGAGATGTTGCAACTTGCCGGCCTGCACCCTCCCCGGAAAGCTCGCTGAGGTCCTGCCTCTGAGAGGCGGCCGGCCCCCACCTCTGTCTCTCTCTGGAAGAGCAGCTGTGCCTGCCCCCCTCTTTCTTCTGGGACCTGGAGGAGAGTTCGGAGGGAGGGCGCAGAGGGAGGGAGGGTGTGAGTCTGGGGCAAAGGAGTATGTCCACCAAGCACCTAGAGCCGGCTTCTCAGATCAGTGCTGGGGGCCCTGGGGCGGGACGGCTCTCTGATGGGGGGCGTCCTGTGCACTGCGGAGTGTGGAGCTGCACCCCTGGTCTCCGCCCTCCAGATTCTGGAAGCACTCCCCACCCTAATGTCCCCGGGCATCACCAAGTGTCCCCTGTGGGGAGGAGAGCAAAATCTCCCCCAGCTGGAAACGCCTGCTGGAGGGCATTTCAGCAAACCCACCTCTGGGAGGCTGGGACAGGGCGGCAGGTCTGGTGTGAAGTAGCGCTGAAGCTGAATTGAATCTGCGAGAAGGCGGGTCTGGTGTGGATGAGGAAAGTGGTGCATGGACGCTGACCGCTCGGCTGGTACCACCGGGCTCTCCAGCTCCGTGTGTCACCGGCGGGGCCTTAGACGTGGCTCTTTGCGAGCTCAGGGGAAGGCGGGCTGGGGGATCTCAGCCCGGCTGTGGGCGGGATTGTCTACACAGCCTGGAGCCGCCCCCACTTCCCTATTTAGCGCCTGGCGTCAGACCCACGGCTCCAGCATCTGAGTTCAGTAAAATCTGCCCCGACGCAGACACCCAGCGCCTCCTCACCATTTCTTACTAGGCTGTGACTCTCCGATTGGCTGCCCCAGACCTGCTTTAGAAAAAGCCACCTTTTGAAAACGATTCAATCCTCACCAAAGTGCACTCCTGTTTTTCTGTCTCATGGCAATGGGACAGCTCGTCAGTGGTCCCGCTGACTTTCTTGAATATGCTTTTATTTTGTTTCCGCCCCAATCAGGACAGCCCTTAAAATGAATGGGCATCTTGTTTTTTTGTTTTTTTGTTTTCCGATGGTGACACACCCAGAAAGACAGAACCTGTTTCTCATCAGGGAAAAAAAACATTAAGAAGAGAATGTTTAATTTTTTTTCATCTACATTTAGAAATTTTCGAATAAGAGAAATGACGAGGAAAATAAGGCAGGAGTCGTGGGATTTCACGAACGTTACTCAGTTGCCCTGTTTCTTTTCTTCATTCATTAATTCATTCTTCGTTTTCCTGCATTCATTCATTCAGCCAATAGATACTGCGTACAACATGTGCCCTCATTCCAGCCACTCAGGCTACAACCGAACTTCCCCACCCCTGGGCCTGGGCCACCGGAGCATCGGCGTTGCAGCTAAGTTTTCAGAAACAAATTATATACAAGAGGAGAGTTTTCCTTGCTGTGGAGGGAAGTGAGGAGGCAGGCAGCCTCAGGAAGGGTTCGAAATGATCCAGGATCTCGAATGACCAGGAAGGTATTGAATATAGTTCCCTGTGCTCTACAGAAGAAATTTGATTTTGTCTACACAGTGGTTAATATTTGCAAAACTCAAACTCCCAAATGTACCCCTTCCCACCCACTTTGCCTGGTAACCATAAGATTGTTTACTATGT